CAACTTTATGGGAGAGGAAGCGGGAACACTGTCGTCACCAGAAAGTCTAAGCCAAACAAAAAATAAGACAGCAATCAGGACAACTTGGCTGGGAGAGGGTGCGGGGACACAGCCATCACCAGCAACAAGCTGACACCAACCTGTCTGTCGAGGCTCTGCACAGCCCACAGCCGGCCACAGCTCCTGGAGGACGCGTTAACGACCCGTAGCTCCGACTGTCAGTCACGAAGCTGCACGCGGCCAGCTGCTTGCAGAGAAATCCCTCAGATCAAACGTTCAAACCTGAACGCTGTAGGCTACAAAAATGTAGCCGCGGTAGCCTCGCGCAGCGAGAAGATTAAAGGAACAGATCCTCTGACGACACCGGCTGATATAGCCGGTGTCACGTGGGTCACAGGTGACTTTGTTGGTATTGGTACTCGAGCTGCGCATGCGCGCGATGGACATATCCAGTGCTGAAAGCACCGCCTCTGGCGGTCAGTAGGGACGAAATAGAACTACTTTCTCGAGTTCCATGAAACTCAGAGGTAGTTATAGCATGGCCAACAGAGGAACTCAACCCATTTCGGAGTGAATCAGGATCGCTAGGTGGATATACGCATTATTTAGTCCTGATTGAGGTAGACCTCAAACAGTGATACATTGGTTAAGTCTGCATGTTTTTGTGGCTATGTATCACCTGGTCCTGCGTGCTGTTGAAAACCACAGGGGACTCAGGCCATGTGGGCACCCAGATTCCTCCTTTACCCAAACACCTGCACTCCTCTTCACACATCTGCATGGCCTGTTTCCTTCGGTCTCACGCTAGCCCTACCTGGCAACCACATGTGGACAGCTCCAAAACACGAGGCGAATTCATGAGTGCGGTAGCTCAAATAATCAGCTTTATGAAACTATATGGAGCTTAAAGGAGGAGGAGATAGTTTACATGATGGATGCACCCAGAGCTGCCAGGGCTAATGTCAACAGTGTCTGGATTATGGCTTTTTTGATGAAGACATGTGGCAAACACTACTGCAGAGGACCGGCGCCGTTTGACTCACCTATCAGGTGCCGGGGGTCAGGGGGTCACAGCTGCAGTTAATTAACATACCAGCTCATCATATTGGCATGCACGTACGGCTGTCAATTGGACCCACATAGAGAGTAAAGAATGTTTAGGTTTCCCAGTGTATCAAGCTTTAAGCTTATCAAAGGTGTTTTTGTCTCTTTCTGTTCTTTCCCCACATTCTTTCATCACCTTCTTCTTTATTTTTACTCACTCCTTTGTTCAAGCCACAACATTTGTAGCAGACCTGAAAGGTGAGCCCGGCCGAGGCTCTCACCGTAAGCCGCGTGTTTCACATTACAGGAATATTTCCACTTTGTATTTTGCTTACCTCCGGCGCTGATAAAAATGCTCAGGAGGCTTCAGAAAGTACAGCCTTCCTTCGGGATGCTTACAGTGACCGCATGTCTGAGTGCAGGAACATAACAAGAGGCCTATTCAGGCGGCTCCTGCTCAGCATGGCGAGGTGCAGCTCACAGCGGAGGGCCCTGCTCCGTCCAGCTCAGCAAGAAAACACACAAGGCTCAGCTCTGCGCTGCTGGGCCGTGGCAGAGCCCACCAACGGTTGGCTTTCAGACTGCTGAATGTTTCCAAACTGCATGAAAAACCCATTTCAACTTATTTAGTCTAGCAGTTAGCGTTGAACTCCTAAATAGCCGTCTTGGTAAGTGGTTTACAACTGAGTGGTCAATAAAAAACATTTTTGCGGACTATATTTTCTCAATCTGAATGGTTTTGTTTCGAGTCACGGAACATTACCGTGAGAAAAATTGAATGATTTATTTCTCTGTGTAGCCACTTATCTTATACAACTTCAAGAGCTGGAACTGTGGAACCAAATTAAACTCAGTCAACTCACTCAACTCAGGTTTTTGCCTTCACACTTAACATAGCAAATTATTGAGTATTCTGAGAATATTGCAGAACAAATTTGAAGTGACTGTGGACAGTGAAGTGAGGCTTTGAGCAGATTTTATGGAGGTTCTTTGTTTCCTGCTGAGACCAGGTGTGCATGAAAGCACAGAAACAGGTGAGCCCTCATCATGAGTGTGAGATGGTCATACGGTATTACAGAATACAGGATAAGAAAATAAAAACTACACACACACCCAAATAATGCCATACACACACATTACTGTATGTGTATTGCTGACACAATTTTGGATTGTAGTGGCAAACAAAGAACATTTCTATGACTTTCTTTGTCTGAATGAAACAGGTATTTTCTGACAATGTAATATGTTACTTTCTTATTTATAGTTTTGAGTGATTAAAGAGGTCCTATTGTGCTTTTTGGGGGGTTCTCTTTCCTGTAGTGTGTTGTATAGTTTTTTGTGCATGTAAATGGTCTGCAAAGGCTTTTCTTAAGTATTATAGTGACATCACTATGTAACGCTCGTGCTTTCTATTGGCTAGCGCTCCAACATTGTTATAGGCCAAGGGGTGGGCATCTCTAAGGGTTTGATCAATCAAAACAGAGCCAGCCAGCTAACCAATCAGAGCAGATTTGGCACTGGTGCTGCAGAAAAATATAAAAAAAAGTAACATTAAAGCTTGTAAACATGTCACAGTAAAGGCACAAAATGAAAATTAGCATAATAGGGCCTCTTTAATTAAAAAAACAAATGTACTCTCCAGAAAATGTGTGCTATAATACATCCAAAGGCGGAGTAAAAAGTGGACCTATGTGACTTTTGAAAACATTTAAAAATCCCTTGTCTAATTCAGAGGAATGTTGATGCTAAAAGCAGATAACATCGTGGACTCAGATGACTGTTTGAGTCTTTACTACTTGCGTTACTGTCACCTAAGCGTTACCATATGAAATACATGATAGTTGACACTGTGAAAACAGAAAACCTTTCTCATATTGTCAGTCAGCTCATTGCGTCCCTACGACGAAATGCAAGGATTTTCACTAACCCTTACTATTTAAAACACACTTTCCTCTCAGGCTAAAGCAGGCATCTGGACTGTCACAGTTAGGAGAGGAAGGGGTCTTGTGAGAGTTGTAAATGGATGTTTTGATTTGGTCTCGCTGTTAAGCGCAGCCCCCATTTACTTCAATTCATCAAGAATTTTCTCAGTTTTTTGTTTGTATTGCAAGAAATACAAATAATAATTTTGTGGGTGAATTATTCCTTTAACAATGCACATATATAAGAAACTAACAACCAATAATGAAATCACCTGACCATGTCTTTATTTTCCCCTATCACATCTGTGAGGTTGTAATTGATTATAGCTGGTGTGAAGGAATACTACAGATATCCCACCAATTAAATTAAACAGCTGCAGCCTTTGGTATTTATTATGAATTATTTGGTAATTGAAGCGTTTCAACTTGTTTTATATCTTATTCATGTGACTTGATTGGATTGTCCAATTAAATGAACTTACAGCAGAGAGGTCAGTGAGTGAGATCAGTCCTGTCAGTAAGTCTGGGTGAGGGTGGTGTATGGGTGAGGCGGGGGTGGTCCCTGTCCTGGAATAGCTCCCATGGCCTGGAATGCTCTGGGGAATGTGCAGCTTGAGGTTTGATTGGTCATGATGGGAAGTGTGTGTGTGTGTGTGTGTGTGTGTGTGTGTGTGTGTGTGTGTGTGTGTGTGTGTGTGTGTGTGTGTGTGTGTGTGTGTGTGTGTGTGTGTGCGTGTGTGTGTGTGTTGTGGTTGAGCAGCATTAGTGATCAGGAGGTTATGGAATCTGTGTAGAGAATGAGCGAGGACAGATCAATCATTACACACGTTTAGGAAACATCCTCTGTGCGCTCGGCAGGTGCACAGCATGGCAGTGTGTGGGGGGGGGGGGGGGGGGTTCCGTCCTGCTTCTGTCCTGTCTGCACCTTGTTGTTGTGGCTCCTGTCACCTTACCCCCCACGCCTCTTGTGTGTATGTGTGTCGCTCCACTCGAGGCTTTGTGAAACCAGATCTGCCTCGTCCATCTCGGAGCAGCAGAGCACAGACAGGCGGTCCATTAGGCCTCATGCTCTGCGGGTTGACCTTTGAACCCCCCTGGTCCCCTGTTTGACCAAAATGGGCTGAGCGGCCGTGCTAGGTCAGCGTTTTTCTGGGTCATCACAGGCTATCAGCGGCTATCTGTGTATCTGCCAATCAGCGGGGGACTCTCCAAGGTCTGAAAACATTACTGGCTCATGTACAAACAGGCAGATATGTGCCTCACACACACACTAAAGATGGACTTTAAAGGGTGCTTTCATTTCGCTGTGTGAGCCTTAAGACAGTGTAATGACTCTGTATCAGAGCAACGAGTCAGGCTAACAGGAGCGTGTAAGAGAGGGCATCAGACTCTCACGGCCCGGCCTGCTGGAAGCGATGGCCTCTGCAGGATTCCTGCGTTAACCCCCGGGTTCCTGCTCTCGCTCCCTGCCCGGCAAACCCAAATCTTTGCCACAACATCCCAGACATGAGGACTACTCCCTCTGCCGTGTTTGCTCAGCTGCGCCGGCTTTGTGTCGGTGTATCGAAACCCCCTTGTTCCTGCTCCCTTTGCTGTTTTCTCCCTCTTCTCCTGTTTGGTTTCTCTTCTCTCGACACTTTGTAGCTTCATTTGTTCTTTGTTTGGCTTTGGGAGAACGCGTCTTACGTTTCCAGGGGATTGACGGCGGGGAGGTCGAAGTGAGGCGGCTACCTGAGGAAGTCTCACGTCTTGTGCCGCATAGTGTCACAGGGGTGTCAACATGTACAGTAGTCGTGTAAACACCTCTCTGCTGTGCCCACTCTCTGTCTCACTGCAGCTACTCATGCACTTACAGGGTTTCAAAATAAATAGCTCCAATTTGGTTAGCAGGCGTAATAACTTAATAGCTTGGACCCAAGATGTAAGCACAGTCTCAGAAATGCAATTTAAGGTTATTTATGTGGATGCAGCAGCTCATTTGAAAGCACTAAAGTTGCAGTTAAAGTCCATTTTCAGACACAGTTTGGCTCTAACCTGCAAAGATGCGTAACCGCTTGCGTCTCGGAGGCGGCCCCAGGCCTGACACCCCGGTGCACTCGTCTTCATCGTCACAGTCACCGCTCTCGAATCCCTCTTCCCCCTCGTCGTTCCACCCGTCCCCTCCACTAACCCGCGACCGGGCTCTCCAGCGCTTCTCGGATACCGTCACCAGCCGCAGCAGCTGTGGGACAAACAGGAAGAGGTTTAAAGGTAATGAGGTTAAAAAGCACCCCGCCCTCACAAACTTCATGAATCATTCTGTGGCCGGAATGTGCCGGTGCATTAATGGTTTAACAATGCCATTAAAATAAATAAGGGGTGTCTCTTGATCCGAGCATGTACAGTGTGGTTAGAACAGCATGAGGGGAATTCCTGACAAAATCTCGGTGAGATCTGAAAGCGTTGGTATTTGATGAACGCTAATTATATCACCAGGCAGGAAAACAGTTTTGTTATCTGTGCCAGTTTTGTTATTTCTGTCCAACGTGATTCATTCAAAGGTTTGTGGCTGTCTCCCCAATTTACTGGTAGGAAAAGAACCTAGTGGGCCAAGCAGACTGGTGCAATTGTGTTGTTACTGGCAAACAGTATCGTGCCCAGGTCACATCTAGACCTGGAAGTATTAAAAGATCCGACCCAACCCAAGATTAAACAACATTGGCTGCTACACATTGATTTAGTTGAAAGCTCTTTATGTATTAACCTCGTTTGAGATGGGTCTGCTGTTCTTGAATCACAAAACTCCCTTAAAAAAAGATGTTAAAAAATGCTGCAGAATAATTTTTATTTCTGATTTCTAGAGAAATAATCCAAAAATGTTTGTTCTAATCTACCCACATTTACTTAAAGTGGCACTTTCTGCTCATTTTCAGGTTCATATTTGTATTGTGTGTCTCTACTATGACATGTTTACATGCTTTAATGTTCAAAAAGCTCTTTATTTTCTCACACTGTCTGTGCTGCGGCACCTCTTTTCACCCTCTGTCTGAAACCAGAGCCCAGTCTGCTCTGATTGGTTAGCTGGCTGGCTCTGTTGTGATTGGTCAAACACTTAGAGATGTCCCGCCCCTTAGCCTATCACGTACACGTGTGTTGGAGCACTAGCTAATACAAGCGTGAGTGTTACATAGTGATGTCACTATGTTACAGAAGTGAACAGAGGTGTCCAATGAAGGCTTTTCAGGCAAGGTGGGGGGGGGAGGGGAGTGTGTGGGAGAGAAACATAGGGATTTTGCAGACCATTTACATGCACATACAACACTACAGGGAAGGGAAAACCCCCCAAAAGCACAATAGGGCCTCGTTAATGTGTTCCTGGTCTTGTGAATGTGTTATGATGTAAAAAAGAAAATATGTACATTTTTGTAATATTCCAATTTATTTTATTCTCTTGACTGGGTTAAATTAAAAACATCGTTCTCAAGTAAGACCTGGCCAATATAGAAGCAAACAAGACAAATACAAAAGGGAAAAATGTAAATCAACCCACAGATAAACTCTGATATTATTATAAAGAGGGCTAAAACAACATGCAAGTCAAGCTCTTAAGCAAACAAATCTGAAATTATTAGCAACTAAATCTTATTCCACTTTGGCCTCGGGGCTGTAAAAGCAGATGTTGTTCAACTCAGATATTTTTCCCACGCGGATTACAGAAGCTCATAATTTGTTTGTGCAAAACAAACCAGAAGTGTTTATTGAGAACTGTGGTAAACTAATCCACTCATAAATAATAAAGAAATGTCCAAGAGCTGTAAAGCAATATCATAAAAAAATCTCTGAATTCCTTTTGACCAAATGTAAAAGGAGTGGAAGAAGAAAAACGTTATAAGCCCAATTACTAAAACTCTGAAGAAAAGGGAACTTAAAACACAACTTTCGCATACTTCTTGTTGCATACCAGAAAAAAAGGATCCTGTCTTGTATCAACGGGTGAGAAACACGTGAGCCAGCTCGGAGACAACCTACATGGCCGCTCTCTGACCATCTTTCAGGCTCCACAACATCGCACATGATTGAGAGCCCTGCCAAGGTAACAGATGTGCTAAATTCCACCCGCCTGCCCTCCAAGCTTCCTTTCATCTAACCGCCCTCCCTCCTCCGTTGTTTTTTTATTGATTTCCTTCCTATCTGCATAAGTCAGCATGCATTTTTTGTTGTTGTTTTTACTTGTTTTGGCTGGCTACGGGAGAACATTGACTTCATATGGGCCTCGTCTCAAGTCAGCTGCAACGTCTGCCTGTGTGTTTGTGCGAGACGGAGAGCGGAGGTATGAAAACAAATAAAGTTAATCACAGAATTACGTCACTTCAAACAGATAAACAACTCTGTGTCCCTCGCCCGCATAAACAAACCAGTCGATCCGGTCGAAGTGACATAAACTCCAATGTTTGGAGAGGAAACAAACATCACCTTGTTCCCAGCATGGCTACCATGCAACAAACCTCCATTCATTTCTCAACATTGAGGCCATACACGCACGATGACCACAACATTTTCTAAAAGCCAGGTCACTTAGAACGAGAGATGGACAAACAGTAAGACGGTTGACAGGACGGTTGATCCGTAGGAACATTTTGACTTCTGTTTGAGGCCGCAAAGCAAAGCGCCACCAGTTGACAGAGCGGAGGCCTCAGGTGTCGCATTAAAACACGTCCCATGTACAAACCCTCCACGGGATGAATGGTGGTTTAATGTACTCGGCTGTTTTGTTACAGAAAGAACCATGTTTGCCTGCGTTTGCCGGAGTCCTTCATAGATTTACTGAGGTCTTGAAATTCCTTCTGGTGGTCTGTATCCTGGCAACTCAGTTGGACTTTGGTAAGGGGAGGGGCGCCTTGCAAACCAATTAAAAGGGCACACAAACACTTGTAAAGCAGGGAAAGAAAGATGTGGTTCAGGGTATTTTAGAACAAAAGCTAAAAAAAGGTATGAGTAGTAAGGGGGGAAACACTGAGAGCAACTGTCGCGTCCCCTGTTTAGAGCTCGGTGTGTGAACACTGCCATGTGTAAGTCACCACCTACCAGCAAACACAGCGACTCCCTTCAACACATAAACAGGCATGCTATCCTCTGACTCACTGTATACTGATGTTAGAAAACACTAGCATCTCTGTGAGGCTGAAATCAGCATGCTAACATGCTCACAATGCCAATGCTAACATGCTTGTGTTTAGTAGGTTTAATGTTTTACAAGGATTAGCATCTTAAGTTAGCATTTTAGCAAACACAACAAGTGTTTTTGGTAAAAGTGGTTTGATTTGAGATATTTGGTTATGATGGAAATCATTGGACGCATTCAAATGATGACCTGATGATGGAGCTACAAAAGTCTCTGGATAGCCAAAGTGTATCTAATTTATTCTGAGGGAAACACAAATGGCTGTACCAAATGTCATGGCAATCCATGTGATAGCTGCTGAGATATTTCAGTCTGAAGCTAAATGCAATGACCGACCAACAGATCAACACTGCCAGGGCTAGATCCAAAAAACACAACAGGATCTGAGAGTTTTACATTTTGGATACAAAATACAGTTCCAGACGCACATGTGAAGGAAGTAGGATCAAGAACACACAAGCTATAAATAACAGCAGATGATCAGCAGATGAAAAATAACACAAAAAAACGTTTTGGGGAAGAACTTGGCTGTGTAATCATAGTCGTGGTCTCAATGAGCCATAGCAGCAAGCCGTGCCCTGCTTCACATGGGGGGGGGGGCCGGGCAGGGCCTCCCTCCGAGCCTCTGTGGCACAGCGCTGTGGCTTCTGCCCACCGACTGACTGCCTCTGCCACGGCTGCGGTGGCGGGGAGGGGTGGGATGTATGTTTGTGTCGAAAGTGATGCTGCGCTTTTGGCATGGCTGAGCCGCAGCGTGATCCGGCAAGAGCCTCCAGATTTACCACAAGAGGGAGAAACCTCAAGTTGCTTCGGGCTGGAATCTTCCGCAATTAAAAAAAAACTAAACCCAAGCAAAAGGAAGCAGGGAGGAAACAAATAAAAGACACATTTTTGGGGAGAAATGTGCAGTATGTTTTGCATTAGGAGAGGAAATCGGGTGCTCTTGCTCTTCCATTCTCTCTTCTGTTCTGTTCTGTTTTCCAGAGTTGCATCGGGTCCAGTCACTTCAGACATAAAGAACATGTAATCAGGACGGCAATAGGCATCCCGCAGGACACAGAGTTCACATCCCTTGAACACAAAAGCGCAAGTCACACTAAGGAAACACAGGCTGAAAAGCTGCATACAAAGCCCAAACATGTGGCCAATTGCTCAATGCAGGCCAGCCCAGACAGAGACACAGAAACCGCAAGTCTGTCACTGCCTCCCACACATGACATGAACTCCACACAGGGTCACTGTTCCACACAACAGCTGCACCTGGGCCCGGCCACTGGTTGACCCGCGCCGATAGAAATCAACCTGCGCTCCTTGACCATCAGCTGTGGTCTTTAAGAGGAGCTGGAACCAAGATCCTGGTTTAAGTTTGACCTAAAAATCACATGAAAAAGGACAAAGACAAATAATGTAGTATTAACGTCATAACTGCTGAAGTGAATGAGTGATGTTGGGAAGAGGGAGAGGATGAGTAATGAAGACAGAAGAGAAAAGGGTCTTCTTGTCAGTGTGTGTGATTGGGATCAGGCCCTGTGTTATGTCCTCCACTCGAGCACAGGACTTGTCTGGACAAGACGCCCATGACTCGGCCCAGGCGGAATCTGCTGCTGTGAATGTTTCTATCAATGCCTCAACACATCTTGTCTACAAATCTAATCTACACGACTACAGGCTTAGGATCCCAAACAGAGCACTTCTTTCAATATGTTCATAGAGAAAGCCACCCTCAAACGTTGATGGTTTCTACAATTGCTCGGAGCTGATCATCACACACTGTTTTTTGTGTATGATGGTGATGAAAACTGACAAGACGTTTTGGGATTTTAATCATACAGTATTCTGTCTTTTTATACACATTTTACATATGAACAACTGGTCCAAGTGTAATGTGATATGCATGATGTTAATAATAATAATAATACATTTTATTTTTAGGCGCCTTTCATGACAGCCAAGGACACCGTACAATTTGATAAAAAAAAAAAAAAAAAAAAATGCTGAGTGTAATATGGTTCATATTCAGTGACAAACCCACAGGAAGTCATCAGAACTTTTACTTGCAA